TTTGATTTGCAGCTTTTAGGATAGCCCAAGATACAAGGAAACAGATTTGTCAGCGACCACCCTGCACGGCTTTTGCAGACAGGTAGGAAGAGCCTGCAGACAGATATAACCAGAGGCTCATTGCAGGAAAAGAGGACTCTTGGGTTTGCCTTTGTAGCAGCTGAGCAGTTTGCTCTGAGCAGGCTGGTTTGGATAGGTGCGTGGTCCAAGAGAAAAATGTACTCTTCAAATCTTGGGTAGCAAGTTGTTTTTTCTAACGTATCCGTAAAAAAAAAGTTTTGCATTCCTACAGGTTTCTGCGAGGCTTACAGAAACACTGGGTGTCATGATACATGCCAAGCTCCGGCAGTGAAGGGCAGGAAAATGTTGAAATTTGATTTCTTTATGTAAAAGGATTTGATGCAGTCATTCTTTAAAGTTCTGGGTGCCAACAAAAGAGGTCAAAATTCAGCCTCTGTGCTGATGTGTGGATTTCTTCAGCCGCTCAGGAGAGCAGGCGGCTCTAAGAATAGGATCAGGTTTCTATGGCATTCGCCTGGTTTGTAACAAAGAAGAAATAATTCAGGTTTTGAATATATGTTATCATTGCTCTAATGGGAAGAACAACACATTATCTCCTTTATTTATCTTATCTATATCGTCATATGCTTTAATTCTCTGAAGTTGCGCATCTTCAGTTAGATTTCATTAAATCAGATGGGCTGTTGCTGTCAAACTGATGGAAGTTATTAATTTATAACGCAGCTAATTGATTTACAGAGAGGTAGAAGCTCAGCCTGGACTCTTTCCCTAGAATCTCACTTTTATAATGAGCACCAGAAATTGAGGGAACAATAGAAATAATCTGATTTCCAACTGTTGGAAGATAAGACAATGGGAAGTTTCACATGAAGAACTCAGCAGAGTTGGTCATGGTGCCCAACAGAGAAGTGGGACCTTCATTTAAATGTCATCCTGTGTAATCTCTCCTTGACCCTGGCATATTCCCCATAGATCCACATTCCAGATCACAGAGTGGTCTATAACAAAAAAAAAGACCTGCAATAGCATTTTTGTAGTGGGCTGCTCATAAGCAGGAGATGGGACCAGCTGCCCTGTGCCCCAATCTCCATGGCAGAGAAGAGGAAAAGGGCACCAGGTGGGGAAAACAAAACAGAGCAAGAAAGGAGGAAAAGCCCCAGGGGGAAAGAGAGTTTCCCAAATAATTACACAGGGAATTTCACTGCAGGTGATTCGTGACTTTTATGACTTAACTAGACAATAAAAGTCTTTTAATAGAAGATACAGCCAAACAGCCTACTTGGTTTCCCCTTCCAGCAGGCCTCTGCTTCAAACTTTAAGCTTTTGCTCCTGAGTTATTATGCTTTTATGTGCTGAGAATCACCAGCCTCATTACAGAGGTAAACTTTGCAATTTACTCTCAGTTTTACTCTCATTACGGAGAGTAAACTAGCTACTACTGCAGATGTAGAGGTAGCTAGTGTGGTAAGGAGCACATCGCCTGGGTGCAAATGGTAAGTGGTAAATTAGCACCTGATTATTAAATCCACATGACGGTAATTGTGAACTTTTTTCTCTTACTCATCTGAGTTATGTCATCTATTTTTGTTCCTTTTACAAGGAACTTTTTTGTGCAGGACTTGTAACAAAAATAATCTCTTTCCTATCAGATAATCTTCTGGCATCAGAAACTGCTCTTTTTTGACATGAGAGACTATCTACATGGTTTGTTTTTTCCCAAGTGGCATAGATAAGGCAATGGGACAAGCTGACTGAAGCCCATGGAAAGCCATGCCATTATATGGTGCTGTTGGCATGGGGCTTGGTTGGTGGGTGTTGTGTGGTGTGGTATTTGTTGTGGGTGTGGTGTGTGGTGGTTTTTTGGTTTTGGGGTTTTTTTTTTGGTTTTGGGGGTTTATGGGGATGTTTTTTGGTTTTTTGTGGGTTTTTTGGGTTTTGTTTTGTTTTCTTTTGTTTTGTTTCTTGGTTTTTTTTTTTCTGTGTGGTTGAACTCGATGATCTCAGAGGTCCCTTCCAACCACTGAGATTCTGTGATTCTGTGATTCTGTGAGATTGGGTAAATACTTCTATGTCCGGGAAGCTCACATGTTTTGAGCTTTAATGTGCCTTTTCTTAGGCATTTCTTCCATTGCTGCCTCTTTCGGGGTGTTAATTTGGTCGCACTAGAATTCCTTTGATTTGCAGCTTTTAGGATAGCCCAAGATACAAGGAAACAGATTTGTCAGCGACCACCCTGCACGGCTTTTGCAGACAGGTAGGAAGAGCCTGCAGACAGATATAACCAGAGGCTCATTGCAGGAAAAGAGGACTCTTGGGTTTGCCTTTGTAGCAGCTGAGCAGTTTGCTCTGAGCAGGCTGGTTTGGATAGGTGCGTGGTCCAAGAGAAAAATGTACTCTTCAAATCTTGGGTAGCAAGTTGTTTTTTCTAACGTATCCGTAAAAAAAAAGTTTTGCATTCCTACAGGTTTCTGCGAGGCTTACAGAAACACTGGGTGTCATGATACATGCCAAGCTCCGGCAGTGAACGGCAGGAAAATGTTGAAATTTGATTTCTTTATGTAAAGGGATTTGATGCAGTCATTCTTTAAAGTTCTGGGTGCCAACAAAAGAGGTCAAAATTCAGCCTCTGTGCTGATGTGTGGATTTCTTCAGCTGCTCAGGAGAGCAGGCGGCTCTAAGAATAGGATCAGGTTTCTATGGCATTCGCCTGGTTTGTAACAAAGAAGAAATAATTCAGGTTTTGAATATATGTTATCATTGCTCTAATGGGAAGAACAACACATTATCTCCTTTATTTATCTTATCTATATCGTCATATGCTTTAATTCTCTGAAGTTGCGCATCTTCAGTTAGATTTCATTAAATCAGATGGGCTGTTGCTGTCAAACTGATGGAAGTTATTAATTTATAACGCAGCTAATTGATTTACAGAGAGGTAGAAGCTCAGCCTGGACTCTTTCCCTAGAATCTCACTTTTATAATGAGCACCAGAAATTGAGGGAACAATAGAAATAATCTGATTTCCAACTGTTGGAAGATAAGACAATGGGAAGTTTCACATGAAGAACTCAGCAGAGTTGGTCATGGTGCCCAACAGAGAAGTGGGACCTTCATTTAAATGTCATCCTGTGTAATCTCTCCTTGACCCTGGCATATTCCCCATAGATCCACATTCCAGATCACAGAGTGGTCTATAACAAAAAAAAAGACCTGCAATAGCATTTTTGTAGTGGGCTGCTCATAAGCAGGAGATGGGACCAGCTGCCCTGTGCCCCAATCTCCATGGCAGAGAAGAGGAAAAGGGCACCAGGTAGGGAAAACAAAACAGAGCAAGAAAGGAGGAAAAGCCCCAGGGGGAAAGAGAGCTTCCCAAATAATTACACAGGGAATTTCACTGCTGGTGATTCGTGACTTTTATGACTTAACTAGACAATAAAAGTCTTTTAATAGAAGATACAGCCAAACAGCCCACTTGGTTTCCCCTTCCAGCAGGCCTCTGCTTCAAACTTTAAGCTTTTGCTCCTGAGTTATTATGCTTTTATGTGCTGAGAATCACCAGCCTCATTACAGAGGTAAACTTTGCAATTTACTCTCAGTTTTACTCTCATTACGGAGAGTAAACTAGCTACTACTGCAGATGTAGAGGTAGCTAGTGTGGTAAGGAGCACATCGCCTGGGTGCAAATGGTAAGTGGTAAATTAGCACCTGATTATTAAATCCACATGACGGTAATTGTGAACTTTTTTCTCTTACTCATCTGAGTTATGTCATCTATTTTTGTTCCTTTTACAAGGAACTTTTTTGTGCAGGACTTGTAACAAAAATAATCTCTTTCCTATCAGATAATCTTCTGGCATCAGAAACTGCTCTTTTTTGACATGAGAGACTATCTACATGGTTTGTTTTTTCCCAAGTGGCATAGATAAGGCAATGGGACAAGCTGACTGAAGCCCATGGAAAGCCATGCCATCTGGAGAGTAAGCCTTATGAGGAGAGGGATCTGGGGGTGCTCAGCCTGGAAAAAAGGAGGCTGAGGGGAGACCTTCTCGCTCTCTCCAACTCCCTGAAAGGAGGGTGTAGCCAGGGGGGGTCGGTCTCTTCTCCCAAGTCACAGGCGATGGGACCAGTGGAAATGGCCTCATGTTGCACCAGGGGAGGTTCATATTGGAGATTAGGAAAAATTTTGACACTGAAAGGGTTATTAAGCCTTGGAATGGGCTGCCCAGGGAAGTGGTTGAGGCACCATCCCTGGAGGTGTTCAAAAGATGGGTTGACATGGTGCTTAGAGACATGATTTAGTGATGGGGGGGTTCTTTTGTATGGTTTTCTTTTGGTGTTTTTTTCTTTTTTATAATCAGAGTTAGGTTGGTGGTTGGACTAGATGATCTTGAAGGTCCCTTCCAAGCTAGATGATTCTATGATCTTTGGTTACATCTGCTGCAGTGCAAAGAAGCAGCTGCCCCTCAATTCCTGCTGTGCCCTGTGAGAAGGTCAGAAATTGCTGTGTTGAAGCCCACATGGGGACTGTAGCTGGAAAACCCACTTGCCTTTAAACCATACTCAAACACTGCACGTGAAGACCCTCGTCTATAGTGGTCCCTTCCAAGGTTTAGATTGAACATTAGGAAGGAATTTTTCACAGAAAGAGTGGTCGGGCATTGGAACAGGCTGCCCAGGGAGGGGGTGGAGTCACCGTCCCTGGATGTGTTTAAGGGCCGTTTAGATGGGGTACTGAGGGACATGGTGTAGGGGAGGACTTTGTAGAGTAGGGTAGATGGTTGGACTCGATGATCCCAAGGGTCTCTTCCAACCTCAATGATTCTATGATTCTATGATTCTATGATTCCTTCTTGGGAGCTTCTTCTCTTTCTCTCCTTTCTTCTCCTCCTCTCCTTTCTTCTCCTCCTCTTCTCTCCTCTTCTTCTGGAGTAACATCATATCATAGTAAGAGCCTTTCCCTCTTGCTCTCTCGATTGCAGATGAAGTCGGGGGAGATGGCTGCCAACATTGCCCGGGAGCTCGCGGAGCACACAAAAAACCACTTGTACGCGGGTGACATCACCTACTCCGTGTCCGCCATGGTCCAGCTGGTCAACCTGCTCGACGTGCAGCTCCGGAACCTGACTCCGGGTGGGAAGGATAGCGCTGCACGCAGCTTAAATAAGGTAAAAACAAAGGGTCTGGGGAAGGGAGAGGAGGCTGAAGAAGGGTTTGGCTCTCCCTGGAGAGAGCACAAACACAGAAACGTGTTTCCGAATGACTGCCATTTTAGGGTAGTGATTCTTTCACAGTAGACAGGAGTACCTGGCAGTTTTTTTCGTTTACAGTGTATTTTATTCTGCTGAGAAATGAAAACAGTTGTAAATGCCAAAGTGTAGGATTGGTGCTGGGAAATGGATACCCTTAGGTGTGTAGACGTATGAACTCCAGGTGCTTCGTTGTGGTTCCAGGTCTCGTAGCTCAGTGTGAGGATAACTCAAGTGATGCCACGGCAATTAATTTGGACATGTGCCACCATGAATGAGACCAGAATTTTGCCCAGCTTTTCCAGTGCTGAATCTGTCTGTGAAATGCCATGTAATATGATCCAGAAAATACAAATATTTAAAGGCCCCAAGAGACAGAGAGAGTCTAGTTTTTTGGGTTTTTTTTCATCTTTTAACATTACAAGATGCTGATGTGAAGGTCAAATGAACACTTTTATGCATTAATATAACTAAATAAAAGCAGAGAGAAACATTTATTTACACTGGAGATACATTTACCAAAGACACAGAAGATACCATCGTATTTACATTTAAGGTCTTCAGGATGGCTTAGTGTTAGAGGACCTTTTTAGTGATGATCCATGACTTCAGCCAGAAGCACCTTACTGCATGGTGATGGTGTGGTTTCTGTGCCCCCTGTTTGAGAAGAATTATTAGTCCTTTTGTCACTTCCAGAATTAAGTGGAATTGCTACATACTAAAGCTGCTAGAAGTTGCCAGTTGTGGGAGGAAATACAGGCTGTGAAGTCTGTAAGAATAAATTTTAAGTTGAGAGTTTTCTCGGCCCAAGGCCCTCTTCATCACTCGGTCTCACGTAAACACATTTTAAAGGCTTTATCTAGGATTCAGATGGAGGATTCAGATGGTTAATTCTCTGGGCCTGGTCATCAGAACAAACCACAGCTGAACCCTGTGGCTACGAGCACATGGTCATATTGGCCACCTCGTTAAAATAAGGCACAGAATTTCATTCTCAGCTGCATAGCTGGCTCTGACAGCCCTGGCATCCATCTAAGTGAGAATAGAACTTGGTCCCGAGGTTATACAGGGAGTAAATGATCAGAGCTAAGCCTGGAATTTCTTGCATGATTTCTGAAGAGAAGTACTTTTTGTAGAAGCAAATTGTCTTTTTTTCTTGTAAGTTATTATTGTAGACTTACGCTGTTATAAATGCAAAGAGCTTCTGGATTGTTTAATATTACAGCCCCACGGGAATCGAGGTCCTGCATCTCATGTCCTTTGCATGTGCTGTGAATTAGGTTATCTTGATGCTTTTAATTAGTGTTGCTTCCAGCTATATCATAACAACGTAGGTAATAATTGTATTAACTGTTACATCGGCATAACATTCTTTGTTATAATCATACCATGGTTCTTTGTTTGAAATGATGGTGATGTCTGACAATATCAGGTAAAACCAGCAATTAATGTCACATACTAATGGGTTTCATGGTTGCAGTCTGCTTGCTCTTTTGAATACGGCCGAGCCACACCCAACATTTTGTCATTTCAGCTTTGCAAGCACATATTTTCCATCTTTTTTGCATCCCACCTCCCGATAATGTGTTTTGATTCCGTGAAACGGGGTTGTGTCAGGGGGTCCTTTTGTCACTTCCCCCCAAGGCAGGGGGAAGACTGGGCAAGGCAGAGCTCCTCGGTTGGGCTGTCAATCCTGGGGTCCCCTTTGCAGGTTTCCACCCCCCTTTTTTTCCCCCCCCCAGCCCCGTTATCAGCTTTGCACAAGCAGCTCATACAAATCAATTGCGCCTCCGCATTAAAATTCTGGACGGCGTGGAGTCCTGCAAAACAGCGATGCGAGTCAGTGATCCAGATGACAGGCTGGGTAATTTACTTGCTCTCATTCCCCACTTAATTCTTTAGAAGAGCAACTGCTCTTGTGTTCATTTGAGAATGCATGAATTCAACTTTGGAAGTAGTATTGGGCAAACAAAAGGCAGCGGTTACTGCTCCATTTTCCCCTTCGCTGATCAAGAGTATGTCAAAACAAAAAAAAAAGGGAAAAAAGTCATTTGCAAGGAGTTGTTTTTTTTTTATCAGTGCTGTTTAGTCAGAAAGAAGAAATAAAGTAAGCACTAGCCATTAAATATTCTTTTTAATCACTAAAGGAAACTTTAAGGGGATCTGCAAGTAATTACCTGTGCCGTTTTTGTACTGAGTTTTTTACAAGCTGATGTACAATGGATTGAAATAAACCGGCACAATCAGAATTTTTAACAGCCATCATCTTTCAGAAGCCACTTTCCTGTCACTAAAAGCTTTATGCTTTCCACTGGATCAGGCTTAATTAAGGTAATAATTGTTCTATTGCAGACTGGTAAGACCCCCGAGTGGATAGCTCTGTAATTTTCAGCCAGGCTTCCTTTGATCTCCGTTTGTTTCTGCAAAGTCTTCCTACTGGCCAAGTTTACCCAGAGGAAGATTTCTACTGTTACAAATTGGTGAATTAGAAATGGAAATTAGGCATTGCATGATACCTGGGTGTATTTTGTTTATTTCAGAGCCTCGAAAACTCTTGGGGGGGGGGGCCGAATTTTTGGCTCTGAGCTGTGCTAATGGGATTGCGCTGCTGTGAGCTGAGAGCCCGAGTTCCCCCCAAATCTCTTCTTGATGTGCCATTTCCAACCCAGGCACATCAGCAGGAAGGCAGGCAGGCGAGGCAGAGGCTCTCAGGAGTCCCAGGGAGGTAAATCAGTGCCCGTTTGAATTTTGGGGACACGCTGAAGTGTCACGAGAGGAGGCGGGAGGCATGCAAGCCCAGAGCAAAGTACAGTCCTAAAGGTGGACTCCATGGAATAGATGAGATTCTTTTTTGGAAAAGCTATTCAGCATCTAAAGCTGAATATATATATATATATATGTATTTATGAATATATATAGTCTCAGGAATTACAAAGGAAAGCACAACTTGGTAAGAGGGGACTGGAAAATGCACTATTGGAGAAGCAGTTTAATCCAAAAAGGGGAGGAAATGGCCTCGACTGGGAATATTACGACGGATTCCCTTTTCATTGTTACGTCCTCTTCAGTGCCCTTTACGCCCTCAGAAGCCCTGGGCAACACTCCTTCCTTCAGGGCAAGGTGTGATAACACTGGGCTGAGCTACCTTCAAGCAAAAAACTCACAGCAGCGAAGCTGGAGCACTCTAGGTTTGGGCTTGGGCCAGAGATCTGAGCAGGTGTATCAGGATGGTTCTGCACAGGTCCACCAGGGTTCAGGATGCCATCCTGCATACATCTTGCTCCCTGGAATTGGTTCTGCTCATCCAAAGCTTGGTTATACCTCGCTGTGCCATCAGCACCATCTGACTGCAGAGCCTGTGCTCCTCTTACGTAAATAACCATCAGCCCCATCCTTTCCAGCCTTGTTTGACGTGGAAATATCCTGTGTGATCTCCAAGCTGTAAGGAAAACATCATCTCTTGAGCATCTCTACTTGACTTCAGTGTCTCCTACCATCTAACAGCTGCTCTTGCAAAGTTGCCAGTCTGTGCTTTACTTCACCGAGAAAGGACTAACCCATATTTTTGGAGCCAGTCCTTCCAGCCTTCCACTGCTGCCTAACTCGCATGCTTCCTCTGTTTTGGTTGGTTTTCAGGAGCTATATAAGAGAGAAATGAGGTTTTTTTCATAGGCATTTTCTTCAATTTTTTTCCTTTGTTCTGTCACTAACTTGTTTTTTCTATTCCGTCTTTAATCTGCTGTCTTTATGGACTCAGCTTCAGAAAAGGGAGCGCTCTTGCAGGGCCTATGTCCAGGTATTTCTTGTGTTTTTAATACACGTGTCCAGTTGTTTGACTGAATGATTGTGAAGTGGGTCTTGTCTCTGTGAATAATCTGATGATTGCTATATTTGTGGCAGCAAGTACTAAGGTTAAGGTTACAGGATAATAATTTCTTTCTTCATCTCCCCCCACCTGCCCCCTGTTGGTCTCAGACTTGACAAGAATTTGGGGCAAAACCTCTGAACCAGAAAGTGGGGAAAAATCCACGGAGAAATCTGACAAGACTCCTCCGGCCATCGGAATAAGTGGGATAAGTAAAAAATGCAAAACTCCTGCTCACGGAGGCGTCTCCAGACCAGCTGGGTTTTGCTGATGACATGTCACTCATGTAATTGCCACCTGCATTTCCTTAGTTTTCTTTCTTCCCCTATTACACTTGCAAATTTAGAAACAGTTTGAAATGGCAACGCTCGGCATGAGGGAGGAGGTAAGATGGTAATGAAATGCAGAGTGTCCTCGCAGAGGAATGTAGGGGGAGGAGGAGAGTGCTGCAAACTAAATATAAGATCAGGAACATCGTGTCCCATAAAGTTCACACAGCTACGTCCCGACTTCTCTAGGCTTACGTTGTGTTTTATGTGAGCAAAGTCAAGGCCCAGCATTTTGGAAAGACCTGCTTGCAGGCTTTTCAGCAGTGAGGCCTTGGGTTACGTTATTTATCCTGTCACCTTGCCTTATAGGATTTGCTCCAGTGACTTTTATATAAACTTGTTTGTATACTGTGGGTGAATTAATGCTCCTTTAGGAAATGTGAACGTTTTACCTTCTAAGTTCTGTCCTGTGCTTATGAACATGGATGTTGTACTTCTGGGTGGTTGGTCATTATTTATATGTGTATGTATAACATGCAGAGGTGGAAAAATGAACCCCATGTTTCTGGAGGGGGCTGTTTATACCTGAATTTTCCTGTGAAATTCATCTTGTTATTGACTTCAGTTTGTGAGCACATGTTTCTTTCAGCGTGTGGGATTAGGTGTTTTAGCTTTCTAGGACATTAAAAATATAACAGTACCCCTCTGTGCTGGTAGACTGTCTGTCCTCCCTTTGGATGTGGTAACGAGAAGAAGTCACCTTTTCCCTTCCATATCAATGGATAAAGATATCCATATCAATGGATAAAGATGAGTTACGGAGTTACACATCCCTTGTCTGGTGTGAATTCTCTTAAGATCCCAGAGAAAGTAACTAGCACGTGAAGGAATTTAGGAACGTTTACGTTGCAACACCCACTCCCAAGCTAGCTGTTTTGTCTACTGGTACCACTGGTGAGACTGGTTTGACCACAGACTACATAATCCTCTTGGGGACCTTGGGTACCACTCCACAGAGCAGGCGCACGCTCCTGCTCTTTTTTGTCTTCTTTCAAACACAGTGAATAGTAATTTTAATATCATCTACAGAAATCTTGGCATTCACAGAATAAGGCCTGAATATGCCCCACAAACTTCAGCTTACCCTTAATTTCAAGGACTTCTTTCCTTTCACTTAGAAAGGCTACTTTTGTGTTTAAACATTAATCATGTGTCTACCTCTTTGATAAACAAAAAAGTGATGAAAGGCCATTGCCTGAGCTGTTTAGTATAAATACGGACAAAGCTGGTAAATATATTGGAGAGGACAGTCCTATAATGGAGGGCTTGAAGAATGAATTAGATGGCCTAATTGAACCTTTCCAGCTCTGCCTTGTATTATATGGAGGTGAAGTAATGTATCTGGACATATTTTCATACAGCATGTTTCCATTTGGAAAATCATGTAGCTAAAGTCATCAAAAAATCTTGTGAGGAAGAGTTTGTAATAACAATTAAATGTGACTGCAAATATTCCTGTTACAGGCCACTTATCCTTTACCAGGCAGTGAAATGTCTGGGCTGGCTAAGGCAATTTAGCAGAAATTTTTCACCAAACGTTAAATGGTGAAATCCTGGAACTTGGTGAAGTCACTGGGAAATATGCCACTGGTGGCAGAGAAATAGAGTTTTCAACTTTGCTGACATGATCTCCTTGTGCTGATGCCACTATTGTGAAGAGCATCCATGGCTCACGGGGCTGGCAGTGTGCCTGCAGTCCTGTACACCCTAGAAAAAGGAAAGTAGGGTACAAAGTTTGTGTGAGAAACGTCCAGCAATTGTGCATCAAAAGCGCCATTGAGAAAAGGTGGATTTTGGGGAGGAAGAGCGTGACTTGAGAAGACAATAATTGCTAGAAGCAGTCTTACTGTCTTCTTTGGGCTGGCAAAATTAAGTAGTCATGACAGCCCCTGTAGCGATTGGGGTGTAAATTCCTCTTGAATCCAAAATAAATGAATATAAATAAATACGTAAAACAGATCTGGAAATTTTGCAAGTTACTAAAATATGAGACTGGGATTATCATCAGATTATCATCTCATCTTGCTAGGTATTTGAGTTAAAAGCTCAGGGATTTTATTTACTGGAGATAGAGGTTACAAATGCTGCTCCTTTAGCTGCAAGTGTGGTAAAAGATCTTTTTTTTGTCTCAAAAATCCAACAAGAACCAACCCAACGGGTGGCATGATAAATACATGTTAATATAATGACTGGACAATTGCTGGGAGATTTTTCAATCACGGTGAAACTTAAGGAACTGCCACGTGGGCTGTAATCTGTGCTAATGAGTCAATTTAGGCTGAGCTGATGAAGGTAAATACCCAAGATGGATGGAGAGTGTGGCCTCAGAGAGGTGCTCCATTAGCTCAGGAGATCCTGGACCTGACGTGTGGCTTTCTGGAGAGCAGAGATCTACATCTTTCCTGCCCACCTTTCTGCAGTGCACTATTCTTGCATTCTATTTTTGGGAAAGGGATGGGAAAGTCATCGTGTGGAAGAATGAGTCACAAGGGGTGACGCATTTGATTAGCATAGCTTTGTTTGGTGACTGGTGTGTGACGTAAGCGGGTATGAATTTTAGGTAATTTTTTTCAGGATTGATATTTGTTCATTTTCCAAACGTGTTTCTCCTGAAACTGAAGCACCATAGTTGTAGACAACACAAAATGTTTGTCTTCTGGGGGCTATGAAACTGGGTTTGGTGTCACAGATCTCTTCCATGCCCTTCAGCAAGTGGCACGTGCTCACTGTGTATCAGATCCCCAACTTAAAATGCCATGGGTACAATTCTCTTGGCCTCTGGAAACAGAGATGGGATAATAAATTGAAAAAAAAGGCCTCAGTTCTCGGATATTGCACTAAGCAGGACCATATCAACATGGAAAACTTAAACATGGGCAAAAAAAAATTAGAGAATTTTGCTGTAAGATTTAGTTGCTGGAAACAGGAGCTTCAATAGAGGTTCATACCATGTCTGGGCATGTAGAGTTTTTGTCACATAGGTGTATCTGATTGCAAAATCTGAGCTCACCTCTTTGCTTCCCTCGATTCGTGGGCTGGAGCTCTCTTTGGGGCATCCTGAGGCCAATGGATTTCCCTGCACCGAAGAGCCAGTGCAGGATCCAGGTAGCAGACAGGGGCAGATCCAGGTTGCAGCCCGGGTTGTCCTCCTGGTTCTCCTGGAAGTTTTCTGAATGCTTCACACTTGCACCGTGGGCTGTTTGAATTGCTGTACTAAGCAAAAAAAACTGCAAAGCTTTCCTCAGAGGATTCAAGGCATTAAGTTCAGAGCTGAGTAGATGAGACTTTTTTTTTTCCTTCACTAACCTAGTAGCTCTCAGCAGATAAAAGGTGCGCCTGGGACTGAGCCAGTATTATTTAAAGTGGATTAATTCTGTTTGTCCCACTTCTTTCCGGCTTGCATGGCTGGTCCCAACTTCTGTGAAGGCTAAACGGGAGAAAGTTGCAGCTCTGAGAGGGAGCGTAAATTGAATTATGCTGCCTTTATTTGTGTTCTTGTTGTGCCTATGACAAGAAAGACTCTAACCTCCATTGATATAGAAAGGGGCAAATTAATGAGGATTTTAGAGTGCCTTGTTTGGTCACTTAATTGGCTGGATGACAAAGAGCTCTGCAGTGCGTGTCAAACAACTTTCAGAGTCCTCTAATGATTTGCGCATTGCTCAGCTCCTGGTGCTGTTCTGCAGGGCCTGTCAGGCAAGGTATGGCTGTTAAACTGGCTGGAATAAATTGGCTAGCAGTGTGCATACAGTGCTGGGCATTAACTATAGCTACGGGGAGTACTTTTCGCAGCTTTTTCAAGAGATGTTTGCCCATTGGCATCAAAGCGCCCCCAACTTTCATTTAACGTAATTAAAAGGCCATCTGAAAGAAGTGGGATTCATGGAGGGGGGTGGTTCTGTGGTTTGGTAGCCCTTTGTTAAAACTCTATGAACTTAATGCACTTCGCAGCTTGAGAAACCTGCCCTTGATTGCTGGGCCGGAACAATCCTCGCCACCAATACAAACTGGGGGGTGAGGGATTGGAAAGCAGCCCTGAGGAAAGGGACTTGGGGGTGCTGGTGGAGGAGAAGCTGGACATGAGCAGGCAGTGGGCACTTCCAGCCCAGAAGGCCAATCCCATCCTGGGCTGCATCAAGAGATGCGTTGCCAGCAGGTCCAGAGAGGGGATTCTGCCACTTTACTCTGCTCTGGTGAGACCTCACCTGGAGTATTGTGTGCAGGTCTGGAGCCCTCAATATAAGAAGGACATGGACCTGATGGAGAGGGTCCAGAGGAGGGCCACAAGGATGATCAGGGGGATGGAGCACCTCTGCTACAAGGACAGGCTGAGGGAGCTGGGGTTGTTCAGCCTGGAGAAGAGGAGGCTCCGGGGAGACCTAATAGCGGCCTTCCAGTACCTGAAGGGGCCTACAGGAAGGCCAGGGAGAGCCTGTTTAGAAAGGCCTGCAGTGACAGGACGAGGGGCAATGGCTTCAAGCTGGAGGGGAACAGATTTAGACTGGAGATGAGGAGAGGGTTCTTCACTGGGAGGGTGGTGGAGCACTGGAACAGGTTGCCCAGGGAGGTGGTTGAGGCCCCATCCCTGGAGATATTCAAGGA